CTTGACCTCGTGATCCACCCGCCTCGGCCTCCCAAAGTGCTGGGATTACAGGCTTGAGCCACCGCGCCCGGCCCTTTTTTTTCTTTTAAAGACAGGGTTTCACCATGTTGGTCAGGCAGGTCTTGAACTCCCGCCCTCAGGTGATCCACCCGCCTTGGCCTCCAAAGTGCTTAGATTACAGGTGTGAGCCACTACGCCCAGCCTTAAAACCCCATCTCTGCAAAAAATAAAGAAAAAAAATCAGTTGAGCATGGCGGCACATGCCTGTAGTCCCAGCCTCTTGGGAGGTGGTCACTCGTGCCAGGAGGTGGAGATTGCAGTGAGCCATGATCGTGCCACTGCACTCCAGCCTGGGCAACAGACAGAGTGAGACCCGGTCTCAAACAACACAAAACTGTACATCAAAAAGCACTATTAAAAGACAAGCCAGGCACGGTGGCATACCTGTAGTCCCCGTTACTTGGGTGGATTGCCTGAGCCCACGAGTTCAAGGCTGCAGTGAGGCTCCACCGCACTCCAGTTTGGGTGACAATAAAACAACAATAAAGAAGTTAAAGACAAGTAACAATGTGTCTGTAGCATATAGCAGAGTAAGGGTTAACATCCAGAATAGTCAGAGAGCGTACAAATTATTAAGGAAAATAAATGATCCCAAATAATTTTTTAAACGATATAAACAAGAAATACAAGAAGAAATATGAAAAGGCCAGTTAAAAGCTTTATAAGTAGGCCAGACACAACACCTGTAATCCCAGTGCTTTGGGAGGTGAGGCATGAGGATCACCTGAGACCAGGAGTTCAAGACCAGCCTGGGCAGCATAACAAGACCCTACAAAAAAATTTAAAAATTAGCCAGGTGTGGTAGTGTGTGCCTGTAGTCCCAGCTGCATGGGAAGCAGAGGTGAGAGGATCCCTTGAGCCCAGGAGTTTGAGGCTTCAGTGAGCCATGATCCTGCCACTATACTCTAGCCTGGTGACAGATCAAGACCCTGTCCCTCAAAATAACACACACACACACACACACACACACACACATCGTAAGTGAATATTGAAAAGACTGAAAATATCCAGTCTGCTTAAGTATACAAGGACATAGGCATTTTTTTTTTTTTACAGTGCTGGTAGAATTAAAATAATATACTACTAGTCTGGGCACAGTGGCTCACACCTGTAATCCCAGCACTTTGGGATATAAAAATTAGCAGCATGATGGCACATGCCTACAATCCCAGCTACTCAGGAGGCTGAGGCAGGAGAATCACTTGAACCCAGAGGTGGAGGCTGCAGTGAGCTGAGATTGTGCCACTGCACTCCAGCCTGGACAACAGAACGAGACTTGGTCTCAAAAAAAAAAAAATAAAAGAATATAGTATTGCTTATAATAGCCAAAAATTAGAAACAACCCAAATATTTAGGAATAGAATAAATAAGGCCCAGCACAGTGGCTCACACTTGTAATCCCAGCACTTTGGGAGGCCAAGGTGGGTGGATCACAAGGTCAGGAGTTCAAGACCAGCCTGGCCAACATAGTGAAACCCCCATGTCTACTAAAAATACAAAAAATAGCTGGGCATGGTGGCACGTACCTGTAATCCTAGCTACTCAGAAGGCTGAGGCAGGAGAATTGCTTGAACCAGTACCTGGGAGGCAGAGGTTGCAGTGAGCCGAGATTGTGCCATTGCACTCCAGCCTGGGCTACAGAGCAAGACTCCAACAGAAAAAAACACAATCCAAAAAAAAAAAAAAAAAAAGGAATAGAATAAGTAATTTACAGTACGTTCAAACTGTGGAAAACTCTGTAGCCATTAAAAGAAATACAGCTGGGCGTGGTGGTGTGCACCTGTAGTCCCAGCTACTTAGGAGGAAGAGGTGGCAGGATCACTTGAGCCCAGGGGGTCAAGGTTGCAGTGACCTATGATTGCAGCACTGCACTCCACCTGGATAACAAAGTGAGACCCAGTCTCATTTAAAAAAAAAAAAAAAAAAAAAGAGAGCGAGAGAGAAACAGAGCAACATATAGAGAAGCCTCCTGAGTAGCTGAGATTACAGGTGCCTGCCACCACACTCGGCTAATTTTTTGTATTTTTAGTAGAGACTGGGTTCACCAGGTTGGCCAGGCTGGTTTCCAATTCCTGACTTCAGGTGATCCACCTGCCTCGGCCTCCCAAAGTGCTGGGATTACAGGTGTGAGCCACTACGCCCTGCCAGAAGCTTAAATATATTTAGAGACAGGGTCTTGCTTTGTCACCCAGGCTGGCGTGCGCTGACATGATCATGGCTCACTGCAGCCTCGAATTCCTGGGCTCAGGGAATCCTCTCATCTCAGCTTCCCAAGCAGAGGAAGTTTCCCTCTGTTTCCCAGGCTCCTCTTGAACTCCTGGGTTCAAGTGATCCTCCCTCCTCGGCTTCCCAATAACCATCACACCTGGCCTTGAACAACATTATGTTTAGGCAACAAAAACTTTCTACTGATTTCCAGAAGTACAGCTAAAATAAGGTTAGCTGAGCAAAATATTCTGGGCAGGTGAAGAAAGAATATAATTTCCCTATCAGTGACTGTAAAATTATAGTGACGAAGAGCGTACTCTTGTGAAAGTACTGGGTGTGGGAGTACTTTCACAGCATTTGTAGGTTTAGCAGAAAGAGGCGTGGGCTAAGAAAAGCAGGTTAAAAAATACTCAGTGAAACACCCTTCATTGAAACTGCATGCAAAATGCTAAGCAAGTGTGTATGTTTCCAGGGAAAGGATCGATATAGAGTTCTTTAGCTCCTCAGAACTGCTGCTGTACGCCAGGAAAAGGCACGGCAGCTGAAGACGCTGCTCTGGAATGCAGCAGAGCAGAGCAGGAAGTAGAGTCGAAAAACAGCGTATGGAAGGTGCTTAGGGTCATAGATACAATGAATTAATGTTAGCTACATTATGGTGATTGTACTAGTTAATGTCAGTTTTGTAACAGAAGTGTTAATATTTATTTTTTTGAGATGGAGTTTTGCTCTTATTGCCCAGGCTGGAGTGCAATGGTGTGATCTCTGCTCACCACAACCTCTGCCTCCCAGGTTCAAGGGATTCTCCTGCCTCAGCCTCCTGAGTAGCTGGGATTACAGGCATGTGCCACCACACCCTACTAATTTTGTATTTTTAGTAGAGAGGACGTTTCTCCATGTTGGTCAGGCTGGTCTGAAAGTTCTGACCTCAGGTGATCCACTCGCCTTAGCCTCCCAAAGTGCTGGAATGACAGGTGTGAGCTATTGTGCCCAGCCAAGATGTTTTCTTATAGTTTTTGGCATATATAAAAGTTGTACAAGAGGGTTTATTAATTTGGCCTATATAATTATTACTTCCTTGAGTCAGGGAAAGGATTACTTTAATATGAACCCAATGTAGCCAATGGAAAAGGTTTTAATTTTAAAAGCAGTTGGGAGATAGCATATGTAAATGACCGTGGGAATGGGAGCTGCTGAAACCAGCCATAGATCATCGTCTGCCCAGCAAGAACGGGCATGCAGAGAACCAGAGTACCAGCCAAAACAATACCGGTGTCCAGGATACAGGGAGTGTTCAGAATCATCCGAACGTCAATCAAGAACAAGTGCCAGGGTCCAATATTCAGGAAATTCAGGAATAAAGGACAGTGAAATAGCTGGTCATCATGAAAAGCCATGTACTAGAAACAGTCCCTAAAGAAGCACCAAGAGAACATTTTGAGCAGACGTCAAGTAGAAATTAAACCCTAATCCTCCACTACAAGTTGGCCTGGGAACTTGTGCCACCAGAGTGACGATAGGACCTCAATGATGCTTGGAAGCCTCGGGGACATTTTGGACATGTGTGTGCGGTACTGTTGGCTACATCAATGTTGAGGAAAGGTGCTATGTTACTGGCATTTAGTGGGCATGGACCAGGTCATTCAGATTGCCTGCACAAGAAGTTCCACAAAAAGCTCAGCTGTTTAGGAGAAGGTCCTTACAGAGAGGGAAGCTCATGTGGAAAGACCTTGTCTTGATCTCATGAAAGCACCTTCTCTGCACAGTGCCCACTGAGTACATTACAGTCACTGCCTCTGCACTCCAACAACGAGCTGGTTGCAAATGTAACAGGACAGTTGAGATTCCTTTCAACAGTCGTTAAGACTACAATCGCAGAGACGTGAAATTTAGAGATCTCTCTGAATTTCACTAACAAAGGCTGTTTGGCCAGGCACGGTGGCTCACGCCTGTAATCCCAGCACTGTGGGAGGCCGAGGCGGGTGGATCACGAGGTCAAGAGATCGAGACCATCCTGGTCAACATGGTGAAACCCCGTCTCTACTAAAAATACAAAAATTAGCTGGGCATGGTGGCGTGCGCCTGTAGTCCCAGCTACTCGGGAGGCTGAGGCAGGAGAATTGCTTGAATCCAGGAGGCGGAGGTTATGGTGAGCCGAGATCGCGCCATTGCACTCCAACCTGGGTAACAAGAGTGAAACTCCATCTCAAAAACAAACAAACAAACAAAAAGGCTGTTTGAAAATTACAGAACGTTTCTATGTGATATACGTAAAGCATTTTTGGCAAGGTGAGAAACGTGATGAAAACTCCTCGTGTGAGGTTTGGTGGCGTTTCCGCCTCACTCTGGCGTCTCCTTGCGGACTGCCACCCGACTCCCTCACAGCCTGCTGTGCTCCTTTCCAACCCATCCTCCCCCATCGCCTGCTGAAGGACACAGGGTTTAGTTTTGTTTTGCTTTTAAAATATTAGAGACTAAATTTCTGCTTCATATGGTGAAACTTCAAGGTTGAAAAAATGTTTTCTGTGATATTTTGTCATCAGCTATATCCTATCCTACAGCAAAATAGGAAGTTGGTTTTTGTTTGTTTTTGAGACAGAATCTTGCTGTTCCCCAGGCTGGAATGCAATGGTGGGATCTTGGCTCACTGCAGCCTCTGTCTCCCAGGTTCAAGCGATTGTCCTGTCAGCCTCCTGAGTAGCTGAGATTACAGGTGTGCACCACCATGCCCAGCAAACTTTTTGTATTTTTATTTTTATTTATTTTTTGAGACAGAGTCTTTGTCGTCCAGGCTGGAGTGCACTGACACGACCTTGGCTCATTGCAACCTCTGCCTCCTGGGTTCAAGCGATTCTCCTGCCTCAGCCTCCCGAGTAGTTGGGATTATCAGTGTAAGCCACCATGCCCAGCTAATTTTTGTATTATTAGTAGCTTATCTGCAAAGAGGGAGAAGGGATATCATGGAGTTGGAGCTCCAGAAGAGGGGAAGGTTTTGGGTCCTGGGGGAGTGCCATTGAGAATTGACAGTGGATGCTGAGAAGGACAATCAGAATCAGTGGAAATAAGACAACAGGGATCTGTGCTGGACGTGTCACCCTAGCTACACGACTGTCCACAATGTGGGAAGCTCTGAGGCAAAGAAAACAAAATGAAGGGATAGGGCTGACGGCATGCATGCAAACCTGGTCATTCCACTCCTCTGCTTACAATCCTTCAAAGGCTTCCCGGTCCTTCAAGACAAACTTCCAGATCCCTCATCATCTGGCAATGCCCCTTTCTCCAGCTTCCTCAGGTTGATACCTCTCCCCTTGACTTTCAAAGTTCCACCACCCTGGCCAATTGTGTTCATACTCACAGCTTTTACACATCCTGCTCCTTTCATCCATGTGCTATCCTTGCTTCCCACCCTTGGCTTCAGCTTAAAAATCACTTCCTGGCTGGGCGCCGTGGCTCACGCCCATAATCCCAGCACTTTGGGAGGCCGAGGCGGGTGGATCACCTGAGGTTAGGAGTTTGGAGTTCGAGACCAGCCTGGCCAACATGGTAAAACCACGTCTCCACTAAAAATACAAAAATTAGCTGGACGAGGTGGCAGGTGCCTGTAATCCCAGCTACTCGGGAGGCTATGGCAGGAGAATCGCTGGAACCCGGGAGGCGGAGGTGGTAGTGAGCCAAGGTCATACCACTGCACCCCAGTCTGGGCAACAGAGTGAGACTCTCTCTCCAAAAACAAAACAAAACAAAAACAAAAACAAAAAATAAAAGGAGAGGCTTCCTGACCCCTAATCCAATCAGAACTCTCCATCCATAGTCTCTCAACATGTGCTTTTCTTTTCTTTGATCGGGCCTATCACAATTCTACGTTGATTTGTACCAACACCCTTTTCATACATAGAAACAGCTCTTAGAGTGGCTGTGTGGTCTATTTTGCTCACTGCTGAATTCCTAGCACCTAGCTTGACTACCTGTCACCAGCAGGAACCGTCGTTCAATAAACGTCCTGAATAGGTTAATGAACCCTGGGAAGATTTAGCTCTAGGTCCTGGGCAAGTTTTTATTTTATTGTTTGTTATTTTTCTAGATCTTCTTCTCCTTATCTGTTAGATGGGGATAAAAATAAAAACTAACAACCTCAGAATTGCTGTGTGAATTAAATGAGCAACGCATGTAACATGCTTCGCATGGTGCCTGTTATGTAGTAAGGGCTGAGAAATGTTCCTTACTATTACCATCATTAAAACTAAGCTCTGTGAGGAAACGGACTCTCATACCTTGCTGGTAAGAATGTGAAAGTGATACAGCCACTCTGGAAAAACAGTTTACCAGTTTCTTAGAAAGTTAAACACAGACATATCATATAACTCAGCAATCCCATGTCTAGGTATTTACCCAAGTGACATGAAAACTTATGTTCACACAAAAATCTGACATGAATGTTTACAGCAGCTTTATTCATAATTGCCCAAAACTGGAAAAACCCATATGTCATTCAACCAGGGACTTGATAAATTGTGGTTGCATTCATACAGTGGAATACCACTCAGCGAGAAGACATGAATTATGGATACATGCAACAACGTGGGTGGGTAATCCATAAATCCTTTATGTTGGGCCGGGCATGGTGGCTCACGCCTGTAATCCAAGCACTTTGGAGACCAAGGCGGGTGGATCACCTGAGGTCGGGAGTTCAAGACCAGCCTGACCAACATGGTGAAACCCCATCTTTAAAAAAAAAAATCCTCTAGGCCGGGCGTGGTGGCTCACGCCTGTAATCCAAGCACTTTGGAGGCCAAGGCGGGTGGATCACCTGAGGTCGGGAGTTCAAGACCAGCCTGACCAAGATGGTGAAACCCCATCTTTAAAAAAATAAATAAAATTAAAAAACCCTTATTTATGCTAAAAAAAAAATCCTTTATGTTAGGGGAGAAAACCAGACTGCACAGGAGTCACACTGTATGATTCCATCTATATGATCTTCTGGAAACATCAAAACTATAGGGACAGGCTGGGCACAGTGGCTCATACCTGTAACCCCAGCACTTTGAGAGGCTGATAATGGCAGATCACTTGAGGTCAGTAGTTCGAGACCAGCCTGGCCAGCATGGCAAAACACCTATCTATTAAAAATACAAAAATTAGCCAGGCATGGTGCTGTGCACCTGTAATCCCAGCTACTCGGAAGGCTGAGGCAGGAGAATTGCTTGAACCCGGGAGGTGGAGGTTGCAGTGAGCCGAGATTGTGCCACTGCACTCCAGGCTTGGCAATAGAACGGGACTCCATCTAAAGGAAAAAAAAAACTATACAGAAATCAAGTCAGTGTTTGACAGTGGATGGGGTGGGGCAAGAGGGAATTTGGGGGAATAATGGAATTGTCCTATAACTAGATTGTGATAGTAGGTACATGGTTATATGCATGCATGCATTCATTCATTCATTTATTTGAGATGGGTCTTGCTCTGTCACCCAGGCTGGAGTGCAATGGCTCAATCTTGGCACACTACAACCTCCACCTCCCAGGTTCAAGTGATTCTGTGCACCACCATGCCCAGCTAATTTTTATATTTTTAGTAGAGACATGTTTTACCATGTTGGCCAGGCTGGTCTTGAACCACTGACCTCAAGTGATCTGCCAGCCTCGGCTTCCCCAAGTGCTGGTATTACAGGCGTGAGCCACCACACCCAGCCGGTTATAAGCACTTATCAAAACTCACCACGTCATAAATTGCAAGAGTAAATTTTACTGTATGTAAATATCTTAATTTTTTAAATGACAAAATGTGCAAAACAAGTAGCTATAATTACTTTTTTTTTCAGAAAAAGGTATTAATATTTTCTGAGCCGGAAAGTACTACAGGCTCATTGGAGACATTTGGGAAAATGTACAATGTACATTCATCACGTGCAGAAAAGTCATATTTTCTTGCTGTCAGTTTTATTGGCACAGAATACACATAACACACACACACACACACACACACACACACACACACAAAGCTGGGACTAGGCTGTGCATTTTTATGAAATCATACACTTTGCTTTCTGAAACATACTGTGCACATTTTTCATGTCATTAATTTTCCAAATCGTGATTTTAATCAGTCAGTAATACTCTATGTTTATTTAAGAGACAGAGTTTCACTGTGTTGCCCAGGCTGGAGTGCAGTGGCGCAAAGCAATTGTAGCTTACTGCAGCCTCTAACTCCTGGGGTCAAGGGATCTTCAGTGATGGGAGACCTAGACCACTGACATTCTGTCTCAGAAAGTAAATAATTCCCTGCCTCAGCCTCCTGAGTAGCTGGGGCTGCAGGGCTGTGCCACCGCGCCAGGCTCAATACATATTTTTTCTTTTTTTCAATTTGTATTTTTTAGCATTCATTTGTTGTTACAAGTTATATTGTTCATGTAATTATTATTTGTGAATTAAAAGAAAAAAATGATAGTGCTTCCATTTTTTACTATGAGTAACTCTGATAACATTAAAAAAATGTTGAGTGGGGCCAACGCACTTGGAGTTTCCCGGTTCACCTGGTGAAACGCGTCCTCCTTTGGCGGCAATTCCCTGGCTGTTTTCAGTGTGTCTGCAGGAAAAGTGGTTCCACAGGGTGACCTGGCTTCTTTGTTCTTTATAGGGGGAAGGGTTGGGCACCCCACTATCTCCTGTATTACCAGCTTGAATTTGCATCTCGCTGTTAATGTTTAATTCTGTCCATATGCACGCGGAGTCATCATTTGTTTCAGATCACACAGTTTCTCAGTGGTGGAATACTCGGATATTCCGCCTCAGGAAACACCTCTCCACCTCCTGGGCGCTGCCTACTCACCTGACTTTAAAAAAGACGTTTCAGGCAGGGCGCGGTGGCTCACGCCTGTAATCCCAGCACTTTGGGAGGCCCAGGCGGGCAGATCACGAGGTCAGGAGTTCAAGACCATCCTGGCCAGCATGGCCAAACCCCCTCTCTACTAAAAGTGAAGAGGGAGACCCAGGCTTCTCAGATCAACTTCCCCTTTGACTATCATGCTGCATTTCAATAGAAGAAAAGGTTGACCGAGTGGCGCCTCCAGTTTTACCTTCCTATAGGTTACAGGCTAGGTGGGGAAAATATCCAGAAGGTACTATTTTTATTTACAACAAGATCAAAGAAGAAAACTTTTCACATGTTAGTCCTAAAACTGTAACCTGGAACCCTTTCATATGTGATTCCTGAAACTGTAAACCAAACCCTTTTCACATGTGAGTCCTAAAACTATGAACCTAAGATTCTTCCACGTGTAACATCTCAAGTATAAGCCTATATAAAGGTAGAACCTTCCTTTGCTAGAGGAGCTGGGTTTTCGACAAATTACTGCTTGGTCTCCCCGCCGAATAATCTCCTCCCTCCTTTATTCAGTGTTCGAGATCCGTTTCCAGCGGCCGCTCCTGCTACAAAAGTACAAAATTAGACGGGTGTGGTGGCACATGCCTGCAGTCCCAGCTACTGGGGAGGCTGAGGCAGGAGAATCGCTTGAAGTGAGGTGGAGGCTGCAGTGAGCCAAGATCGCGCCACTGCACTCCAGCCTGGGCGACAGAGCAAGACCTCATCAAAAAAAAAAAAAAAAAAAAAAAAAAAATGCGTTTCTCCCGCTGCGGGGCTGGCTTTCCTCCAGGAGTCCGGCTGGGGGCCAGTCCCTGCCCCAGCCTCGGGGCCCTCAGCGGCGGCGCGCCCTCGGCGACGGAAGACGCCCCGCCATCCTAAGGACGCGCTGAGGACACGCGGGGCCGCTCGGGAGACCCAGCACGTGACCGGAACGCCGCCAGGCTCAGTCCGCCGTGATCCCACAGGTCCCCGGTCCCGGAAGTGCCGCAGCCTCCCGGAAATGTCGCGACCTCCCGGAAGTGCCGGAGAGGCTGACGGAGCCGGGCTCGCCGGGGCGCCGCTGCCGAGGCACGGTTGCGGTGCTGGGGCTGGGTGGCGGCCGGGGGCCTGAGTGGGGCCCCGCGGAGGTCGCAGGGCCTGGGCGGCGGAATGATGGAGGAGGAGGAGCTGGAGTTCGTGGAGGAGCTGGAAGCGGTGCTGCAGCTCACGCCCGAGGTGCAGCTGGCCATCGAGCAGGTGAGCGTCCCGCCCCTCGGGCGGTGCTGAGGGAGGGCCGCGAGGTGGCCTCGGTGAGGGCGTTTCTGAATGAGAAGGAAAGAGCCTTTTCTAGGCCTCAGTTGTCTGTGGCGAGGGGCAGGGGTCCTGGTGGTTTTTGGTAGGCGCGTTCGAAGAGGACGGACCTAGAAGGGTGCAGGCCGTGCATGGCGGCCTCAGAGTCTGCGGATTGCGGGGGTTCACTCCTTGAGCAGACTAGCGCCGACGCCCCGATTTTTCGGCCTGCCCCGCGGGAGGGGCTTGGGATTGGGAAGCGTAGGAGGGCAGAGCATAGAGAAAATACTGAAAAGTGACAGGTTCCTATTCTTAAAAGGTCGAGAATTCCTACTGTGGAGTAGTTCAGGTTAGCTTGGAGAATACTCCCAAGGGGCCTCTTTTCCCAAAGGAACTTTTTTTTTTTTTAAGACGGAGGCCCACTGTGTTGCCCAGGCTGGAGTGCAATGGCGCGACCTCGGCTCACCGCAACGTCCGCCTCCCGGGTTAAAGGAATTCTCCTGCCTCAGTCTCCCGAGTAGCTGGGACTACAGGCGTGTGCCACCGCGCCCGGCCAGGGAGTGATTTCTAATACTGCAGGGCAGGCCAGGCGCGGTGACCCACGCCTGTAGTCCCAGCACTTTGGGAGGCCGAGGAGGGTGGATCACCTGAGGTCGGGAGTTCGAGAGCAGCCTGACCAACATGGAGAAGCCCCTTCTCTGCTAAAAATACAAAAATTAGCCGGGTTTGGTGGCGCATGCCTGTAATCCCCGCTACTCGGGAGGCTGAGGCAGGAGAATTCCTTGAACTCGGGAGACGGACGTTGTGGTGAGCCGAGATCGCGCCGTTGGACTCTATCCTGGGCAAGAAAAGCAAAACTCCCTCTCCAAAAAAAAAAAAAAAAAAAAATACTGCAGAGTATTGCTCTTGATAAAGGGAGAATATCTCCCTTAAAGGAATTATTGTGGAGTTATGATTTAGGAAAGTGATTTATGATTGAGGAAATGGACAATTCCATTATGTCTTATTTAATGACCCTTGAGAAGCTTTTCTTTGTATTTTTAGTAGAGATGGGGTTTCACCGTGTTGGTCAGGCTGGTCTTGAACTCCTGACCTTGTGATCCGCCCACCTTAGCCTCCCAAAGTTCTGGGATTATAGGCGTGAGCCACCATGCCGGGCCAGAATTTTTTCTTTAGCTGTCTGATTGAATGCAATTCTGTAGTAGCATACTTGTAAAGAGTAGCGAAGTGTGAGGAGTCAGGAAGGCCTAATATAGTGGAATCACATTTTACTTCAAGCTTAAGTCCCAGAGCCATTGCCTAAGCTGACAATCAGTCACTGTGCCCTGAGGTTATTTAAATTGCCCACAAAATACAGTGTGTGCATCTCTTTGATGCTCTAGGGCTGTTGGTTTTCCTCCTCTAGCACTGGAACCAGACACTTTTTTTCAGTTAATAGTGAATGAAGTAGTTGGCTTCTGTGAGGGGCCTTGTTACATGCAAACATTTTAAAACCTAGGGCAGCACTAAAATCAAGCAGGGTGAGAGGAATACAGAAACTGAGACCAACTTGGGGAAATAGTTCATGTCTCTTACGTCATGCTCTCAACCCAGTATACATTCCCTCTGGTGAGCACGTGTCATTGAGATGGTGTAAATAACATGTATACGTGTATTATGGAAACAGCAATGCTAAGCATTTTAAAAAGAAAACATCTTTACTCTCATCCACCTCCCCTTGTTGTGGTAGAAGGTTTACACTTTTCTCACAGTTGTCTTAGAAGACATTTTGATTCTTTGACACTGCATTTCTTTGGAAGCCTTCTTCAAGGTGAAATTGCTTCCCACAGTTATAACTCTCCTGAGCTGGTGAGACCCACTATCCGGTGGGTCATTTGATTGCTTGTGTCATCCACCTTGTTGTATGTTCTTCAGGTTGTTAGGGAGTTAGCTGTATTTCTCAGAAGTGGACTTTTTTTTTTTTTTTGAGACAGTGCCTCACTGTCACCCAGGCCGGAGTTCAGTGGTACAATCTCGGCTCACTGCAACCTCAACCTCCTAGGCTCTGGTACTTTTCCCACCTCAGCCTCCCAGGTAGCCGGGACGACAATAGGCGTGTGCCATTGTGCCCAGCTGATTGTTTTTGTAAAGATGTGGTTTTGCCATGTTGCCCAGGCCAACTCCTGAGGTCGAGTGATCTGCCCAGACAGACATAAATACATACATACGCACATTTATTTATTTATTTATATTTATTTATTATTTATTTATTTAGAGATCGAGTCTTGCCCTGTCACCCAGACTGGAGTGCAGTGGCATGATCTCAGCTCACTGCAGCCTCCACCTTCTGGGTTCAAGTGATTCTCCTGACTCAGTCTCCTGAATAGCTGGGATTATAGGCACCTGCCACCATGCCCAGCCAGTTTTTGTATTTTAAGTAGAAACCTGGTCGCAGGTGATCCACCCTCCTCAGCCTCCGAGAGTGCTGGGATTACAGGTGTGAGCCACCATGCCCTGCCCTTTATTTTCCTTTTAATTGACAAAATTATGTATTTTTATGGTATACAACATGTTTTTATATATAATTCTCTCTTCTATGTAGGTATTTCCAAGCCAGGACCCTCTAGATCGAGCAGATTTCAATGCTGTCGAGTATATCAATACCCTGTTCCCAACAGAGCAAGTAAGTACAGTTTCAGGTTTTCTTCATTTCAGCGGCTTCTGGCTCATCCTGAGTGTTATGCTTGGTGTGTTATACTAGATCGTCTAAAGGCCCTTGGTAAACAAGGGAGAGTTAAATTCAGATCAAACTCCATCATCACCACCTGGGGCAGTGAGTTAAACTGTTAGAATGAAATTCTTTGTATAGTGAGCATACTATTAATAACTGTACTCTTTTTTTTTTTTTTTTTTTTTTTGATTGGGGGATTGTTTCACTTTTGTTACCCAGGCTGGAGTGCAATGGCGCGATCTCGGCTCACCGCAACCTCCGCCTCCTGGGTTCAGGCAATTCTCCTGCCTCAGCCTCCTGAGTAGCTGGGATTACAGGCACGCACCACCATGCCCAGCTAATGTTTTGTATTTTGTATTTTTAGTAGAGGCGGGGTTTCACCATGTTGACCAGGCGTGATCCACCCGCCTCGGCCTCCCACAGTGCTGGGATTACAGGCTTGAGCCACCGCGCCCGGCCTAATAACTGTACTCTTATGTTGTGAGAGTCCCCCCAGATCTGTTGTAAAGTGGAAAGGATTTTTAATATAGTGGGGAAGAGAGGAGGTGAGGCAGGCAGGATAAGCCCAGAATCATAAAATCACTTTCACTTCCATTTCAAGATGTTAATTTTTATTTTTATTTATTTATTTTTTTGAGACGGAGTTTCACTCTTGTTGCTCAGACTGCAGTGCAATGGCGCAGTCTCAGCTCACTGCAACCTCTGCTCCCCGGGTTCAGGTGATTCTTCTGCCTCAGCCTCCTGAGTAGCTGGGATTACAGGCACTCACCACCATGCCCAGATAATTTTTGTAATTTTAGTAGAGACGGGATTTTGCTATGTTGGCCACACTGGCCTTGAACTCCTGACCTCAGGTGATTCACCCGCCTCAGCCTCCCAAAGTGCTAGGATTACAGGGTGAGCCTCAAGGAATAAATTTTTAGACTTTCTGTTTTACTGTTTTTTGTCCGGTGATTTGCCTATAGATGGATTATCTTACAACTTTGGTTTCTGGGTGTTGGGTGAGAAGTAGACCCAAATTGGAAGTAGCCAAGTTGGGAGAAGGGCAGCGAGAGTCCCGCTTAGTTTTTGTGTATTCAGTGAGCAGTTGTTCAGTAGGTGCCTGTCCCGTGTTCTCAGTCATTGTGCCAGGTGCTGAGGATACAGAGATGAGTAAGATCCAGTCTGTGCCCTCAAGAGGTGGGTGACGTGGGTGAATGCCATGAGGATGGGGCAGTATGGTAAGGAAAGAAAGACCAGTTCTTCCAGGGAAAGTCAAAACTTCGGAGAGGAGGTGGAGGTGGCCTCTGCCAAGCTTGAGGGATTCATTCACGTATTCTTTTAGTAAAACTTAGAGGGATTCATTCACGTATTCGTTTAGTAAAACTTAGCAGTCATTTATTAAATATCTACTGAATGTCAGGTACTATTTTTAGAAACCAGAGAGAAATGTAAAGGTGACAGATACTGTCCTGGTCTCATGGAGTCTAGTATGGGGAGGAAGACTAGAAATCCATCAACAAATATACAAGAAATGGTTAAATATGGTGGCTGTGACACCAAGCAGGTTCTGGGATAGAGCATGATGCCTGGGTGGGGTCCTTTAAATATAGGAGCTTAGCGGGAACCTCTCTGTGAGTGGTGCCCTCTAAGCTGAGACCTCGTGGGCACGAAGGGGTCAAGCTTGCAGCAGTCTGACAGAACAGTGTTCTAGGCAGAGCAGGCAGCCAGGTGAGTCTTCCAGGATGGTGAGGGAAGGAAAGCCCTGCCGATCATAGGACCGAGGCCCACAAGCAGGAAACACGAGATATGCTCAGTGAACAGAGACTCACAGGGGTGAGGCTGAGTGTGGAGCAGGACGCTGGAGGATCTGTGTCCTCTAGGCTTACCATATGCCTCTCAGTGAAATACTTTTTTTGTTTCTTCCTTTTTTTTTCTTTTTGAAACAGGGTCTTAACTCTTTTGCCCAGCCTGGAGTGCAGTGGCACAATCACAGCTCACTGCAGCCTTGAACTCCTGAGCTCTAGTGTTCCTCCCACATCGGCCTTCTGAGTAGCTAGGACTACTGACACATGTCACCACACGCAGCTAATTTTTTTTATTTTTATTTTTTAGTAGAGACGAGATCTCTCTACGTAACTCAGGCTGGTTTAAAACTGCTGAGCTAATACAATCCTCCTGCCTTGGCCTCTCAAAGTGCTGGGATTATAGGCATGAGCCACTGCACCTAATTTTTCACAGAACTGATTTTCACTGTGATAATGTTTAAGTTTGTATCCCCAGAATATTACATACATAGTCTAATACCAATCTTAAATAAATTAGGCTTCAGCACTATTTGCTATATAGGTAAAAAATAAACATAGGGGCTTCAGTATTTTCTTCTCACACCCCAAGGGACAGTACGGCAGCCCCCTTGGGGATGCAGGCACCCTCTCTGACGATTACTGCTGTAGGCAGTGCGTATTCATTGAAGGACTTTTGACAGGATAATGACTGGAGCACATTCACATTTTAAAATTCCATCTGGCAGCCGTTTGGAGGGTGAGCAAGGCGTGGAGGTGGGGAGAGACTGCAGGAGGGAGACCCATACAGAGGTGACCAGAAAGAGATGACAAGGCCCAAAGAAAGCTGTCGGGTGGAGAGAACCAGATCTGAGAGCTACTGAGGGGACCAAGGTCATGCAGTTTGGTACCTGAGAGGATGAAGGTGGTGGCTCATGGAGAATCCAGAATTCACTCATTGATTCATTCAGTTACAAAAACACCTACTCTACCTAGCTTTATAAGAAATTCGGGGTAGAGCGGTGAGCAATACAGATATGGTCCCTACCAACATAGACTCCACAGTCTCTCCTAATTGTCACACAGTTAACAAGATTATAGGTAAATTATAATGTTACAATGCTTTGCTTGTATAATTTTTAACTATTATTTATTACTTGGTCTTACATAATCTTAACTAGATGCTTCCTGTGTACCTGGCACTATTCTAGGCACTAAACAGTGATACACTCTCCACCTTGTTACCGTTCTTGTTTTACAGTGAGAATAACGAGGCACGGAAAGGTAAGAACACTCAGCTTAAATGTGGTAGCATTGCCATGAAGGAAGCATGCCACATACAGTGAGAGCTGAACCCAGGGCTTTACTTGGGCGTGACGATTGGAAAGGCTTACTCCCTTGAGGAAATGGTGTTTAGCTGAGCACTATAGGCCAAGTTACTATTTTTTTTCTTTTTTTTTTGAGATGGGGGTTTTGCCCTCTTGCCCAGGCAGGAGTGCAGTGGCACAATCATAGCTCACTGCAGCCTCAGATTCTTGGACTCAAGCAATCCTCCCACTTCACCTTCCTCAGTAGCTGGCACTACAGGTGTGTTACCACACCTGGCTGATTTTTAAATTTTTTTATAGACTGGGCCTTCCTGTGTTGCCCAGGCTGGTCTCGAACTCTTGGCCTCAAACCACCCTCCTGCCTCAGCCTATCAGAGTGTTGGGATTACAGATTTGAGCCACTGTGCCTGGCTGTAAGTTAAGGATTTTGAACTTTGGTTTCTAGGTAGCCAGATTTGGCTGACTGAGTGAGCATTGGCAGCTTTAAGCTTTACCCAATACTGAGCATAAGGAGAAAGAGCAGGTTTCAGTGGCAAGTAGGGCTGCAGTGGAGTGTAAGGGTGAGCCCAGTATTGGACATATTCAGGTCACCCAGGTGGAAAAAGTAGTTGGGAGTGTGGAGCTCATAATCCCCATCATTGCTAATATCTTGGCATATCCTTCCAAACTTTTTAAAATGGACATACGGATTTTTAAAATAAAGTTTAAAAATGGTATACTGTGTGATTGTCTTTTTTGAGATTTCACAAAAAGCCTTTGTAGCTCATCATTTTGTATGAAAGAGGAATTTTAGGAATTAGCTGGAGATGGACATTTGGGAATAGCTAGAAAAAAGACAGTAGTTACTGGTTCACCAAAACAAAAATAAGTGTTAGATTTGAAAATTACGTAGGAACCACAAGGTTCTCACCTTTTGTGAACTTTGTGAATGTGCTGTGTTCGCTTTTTAAACCACCGAAAACAAGATATTTTTGTTCCGCAGATTCAGTTCTGTGTCTTGTCTAATTATGCCCCATGTATATGATAATGTGTAGTCAAATTTCTTAGAGTAACTCAGAAAATTGATGGCACAGGGCTATGTTTACTTCTCTAATCTCAGAGTCACACTTAAGCAGGTCATCTACTAAGACAGATTTCCATGGATCTTAATGAAAAGGTAGTAGAAAGTATTGACATAGCTTATAATTTATTGTTAGATCTTGGGCAAAAACTATCTGTATACCTCATGGCCTACAGTAAACACTTTTTAAATTATGAGTTTAGACTGTTTGAAGTAGATTTCAGTATATCAAAAATGAATTTATTGTTTCCGTAAGGAGGGTGAGAATATAGTGCTGTGAGGGGCAAGTACTCATGTGTCTGTGGTTGTCCAGAGGCTGTCGAGTGGACTGGAATGGATCCCTCCATTTCTCTTCCACCAGGCCAGGTCTGAGAGGAGCTTGGGATTTTGCATGCATGCAGCAGCATGCCTGTGGGGCTTTGAATAAGTAGCCAGGTTTGGTGACAGTGGTGTAGAAAATTTTTTTAATCTCCAGGGAGTGGGTGTGGTGGCTCATACCTGTAATCTTAGCACTTTGAGAGGCCGAAGTGGACGGATCACTAGGTCAGGATTTTGAGAGCAGCCTGGCCAACATAGTGCAACCCCATCTCTACTAAAAATACAAAAAATCAGCCGCTGTGGTCTGTAATCACAGCTACTCAGAAGGCTGAGGCGAGAGAATTGTGTGAACCCAGGAGGCGGAGGTTGCAGTGAGCCTAGATCACACAATTACACTCCAGTCCTGGGTGACAGAGCGAGACTCCGTCTAAAAAATAAAAGGAAAACCTTTTAAATCTCCTAATAGTAAACTGAAGTCTTATC